AATTCAAGATGTTGATTCCATCACTCCATAGGGACTGGTTTGCATCTCCTGATGATTAGGATACTTATTTTCATTTTGCCATCTTGTCTTCCTACAGGAAAAATCATTATTTGTGGCAAGTTGGCAAGAACTACTAATGATACCAGGCTGTATCAATTACACCAGCCTTTCAACACCCAAGAGAGGATACACTAGATTCTGTTGGTGTTGATGGCCCCATTCAAGACAGCATTATAACTTACTCTTCCTTAGACAACTGGCTAGCAAAGGGTTGGGGGATCTGTCTAATCTGGAAGGATATCCTTGAGTATGGATGTAAACACTTCATTTCTGCTTAAGTCCTCACTTGCATAGAAGAAGGACCCAGCCAATATTTGCAGTGAGGTCCCATTCCTTTCTTACCACTAGTCATTGACAATCATGATGGGTGGCTGCTTGCTAACCTGAGGAACACGTGAACAATATCCAAGGGCAGGACAAGGTTACATATCAATATCCAAAGGTTCAGGGTGAGACAGAACCACCTGGCATTTCTGTCATGTGTTGGAGGACCAAGTTCAGGCTATAATGAATAGTGCCATATTTACTTGAATATAAAATGAGGTTTTTCCCCCAATCAGCACAGGGGGAAAAAGCCCCTTGTATGTACATTTACATACAAGGAAATCTCACTAAATCTATTATATATTAATAAACTGTTGCCAAAAGCAGCATGTGCTCAGCAGTGGAAGCCAATTATAAAGTTGATTAAATGCAGCCAACACTGAGCATGACTATAAAACACATGGCCCATATAGAGCAAACATACTGATGGGAACCTACCACTTTTTTTTTTTTTTTTTGCAAAAGTATTTATTTCTATACATACGCCACATATATGTTTGTCTGTATTTATAGATGTGTATAGATGGGTAGATAGATATAATTTGTATGGATAGATATGTATGGATAGATTGATTCATATAGATATTTCTATCTTACATATCATATATATACCTATACCTCTAGCAACCTGTATTGTGACTGCTGTGGTTCCCTTGACAGTCCAAAACACACCTTTACGATTACACCATTTTCATTCCCATTACAAATCTGCACCATGCACCTGCATTTCCATGTGCGTGTGCACCCACTTGCCTGTTACTGTCACCTTTAACCATGACAGTTATATGAAGGACCACCTTAGAGCCCCTCCCAACTCCTACATATTTCCCCAGCCCTTTCACATGTCATTGTATTCATCATCTCCATTGCCATCATCGTTGCTCTTTTTGGGGAACCTGTTTCTGAACAGTCTGTGCCAGTCCCCTCTCTTCCATATAATGTCCACCATTTCTTGCTCATCATTTTCTATCATCTTCCTGTAGTACCAGTACATTTCGCTCGGTCCCATTTTGATGCAGCCCATGACTGCAAGGTTTGTGTGTGCAGTAGTTGCCCTGCAAAATAGTTTACAAAGCGGGCTGTTTTGGATTCTATCCCCATCACCAGTTTGCAGATCTGGCTCATGTACTTGGCCCCAAGAAACAGCAGGATGTCTGGCGCTCCTCTGCCTCCAGATCTTTTATTTTGAACAATGTAGTCCTCATCACTTTCTCCAATCTGGAGCCCCAGAAGAAGACACGTGGCTCTTTGGATTCTGTGAATGACATGCTCTAAGGGGGAGAAGACTAGTGCAATGTGCAGAAGCACCAGTAGTAACACTGTACTCATGAGTGTCACGCAGTCCCCACCACCCATTGATAGGCAGCACGATTTCTATAGTCCCAATCTCCATTGAGCTTTGACCTCAATCTGTTTCCATGTCCTCTGTCTGGTCAGCTCTGGGTTGAACTCTATCCTGAGGATATTTACCCCCAGGGCTGATAGGTCCCTGAGTTTGCCCAGTCTAGGCAAGTGCTTTTGCTCATGTTGAACTTGGTCCCCATCACTGCTCCATATACCTGGGTATGTTATTACACACTTTCAACCTACCACTTTTCCCAGCATATGATATTGAGGTCATCCATGTAGGCCAGGACCCTTGTCTCTTCCTGATTACTCCTAGGGTTCTCTACTCCACTGATCCAGGGATCCCACATGAGCCACTGTGCTAGTGGTTCCTTCATGCAGATAAGATCAGGAAGGGCTGGCAGTGCTGCTGGACTCCTGACTCTGCTGCAATCAGGGCTGTCAGGGACCTGTTTACCAGTACCCTGCTGCTCACACTGGTGTCCAATGTCTTTATCCAGGTGACAAAGGTTGCAGGGTCCCTCATCTTTTTCAGTGTCTTGAATAGGAACCAATGGGATAACCGGTCATAGGTCTTCTCTTCTCTGTGTTGAGGGCATGGTAGAGTTCAGCCCTCTCTCCTGTTGGTATCATAGCACATCTTGTAGCTGCATCAGGGCTTCATGGATCTGTCACCTTGCCACCACATACAACTGGTCCTCATAGGTCACCACACCTATAACAGACTTAAAATGCTAATTTGAGATTTTGGTCATCAGTTTGTAGTCAAAGTTCAGAAACATTATATATAAAGCACCCCTATAAAGAAGGGTTATGAGGCCGTCTACCATTCCTGCCCCCAGTTGGCCCTCCTGCAGGTGCTCTCTACAAACCTCCAGCAGTTCTGGCCCATCTGGTCCCTGAAAGCAATGTAGAAGTCCTTGGGCAGGCCATCTGCCCCAGGAATCTTACCATTTTTGAGGCTGTGGAGAGTTTTGTTGAACTCCTCCACCAGCTTCTGACACTTGTCCTCCCCAAGGACCTGAGTGAGCTCCTGCACACAGGCCTACATTGCCCTGGGTCCTCTGGTCATACAGTTTAGAGCTACTGGTAGAAGGCTGCTGCTATCTCCAGCATCCCCTTATTTGACTGGTACTCCACATCCACTCCATCTATCAGGCTGGTCATAGCTTCCTTCTTGGCCTGCTTTATCCTGCTAAAATAAGCAGCCCACTCCTCTCCCTCCTCTACCCAGGGAGCCTAGGCCAGGAAGACCAGGCCTGAATTTGGGTCTCCACCTCCCACATGGCCTCTGTTGCTGCCTGCTTGTGCAGGCTTTTCAGCTTGCAGTTTAGGCATTCATGTTGCTTTCTCTGGGCCCAGGCTCATCTCCTTCCAGCCTTCTGGAAGAAGCCTCTTGTTCTCTCTTTCACACTAGCCCACCACCCTGTGTGGTTCCAGTATCCAGATCTGAGAATTTTGCACCCTGTGTAGTGCTGTCTGAACTCCCACTATATCTTTTTATTGTCCAGAAGATTCACATTCAGTTTCCACATGCCCTTGCCTCTCTTGAGCTGCCGCTCCATTTCTGCTTTCATTGTCAGGAGGCAGTGGTTCGGGAAGCAGACAGGTGTGAATTCAGCTTTAGCTACTGTCCACCCTTTTGGGAGGAGAATGAAGTTTACGCATGATTTTGACTGACCCAAGGGGTCTAGCTGGGAGAAATTTCATCCCAGTCTTTGGGTTTCTTTGCCTGTGTCCACCAGGCTGCATTTGCAGGTAAGCTACTTCAACAGCTTTAAGGATCTGTGCTTATTCTATTTCCTACCTTGAAGCAGTGTAGATCTTTTGCAATTACCACTGGCCAGGTGCCTGGCACTATTACTGTCGTGTTTTTAAGGAAGGTGTGTTTTGCTGTTCTGTTAGCTGGCACATATATGTTTGGGAGGTCAAATCTCCCTTCCTCTGTTTCCAGGGTGACTTGCAGTAACCTGTTTGGGATAATTTCTCTGTGCTGCAAGGGGTGCACTCTGTCTCCTCTGCATGATCTTCATTGGTTCCAGACCAGAAAAAGGGTCTGTTTTGCTAACATTTCCTGAACAAAGCATAGTCCCTAAAGCTAGGCAGGCCACATTCCTGAGAACAAAGTATGTCTGCTTGCAATTGTCTGAGGGTCTGCTCAGTTGTGTCCCATTTTTCCATCTTAAGTAGGCTGCTTACATGTACTGAGGTTATAAGAATCTCCATGAATAAAGCTGTCATGGGGGCAAGGGGCAGGGGGAACTTGTAGCCTTTTCATGCTCCTTTTTAACTATATTGAGGTCCTCTTTCATGTCCAAACTCAACTTTTCCACCATATGTGGAGTTTTTTCCAGGACAGTGGCTCGCCCAACTGGTTCGTGCGGGTTTGTGGGGACCTGTTTACTTACATGAGTAGGGAATTACCCAGGTGCTCTGAGTTGCCTCTGGGCTCCGCAGGAATCCCAGACCGTTTCCTCCCCCCTGGAATTTCATGTCTGAATTATCGCTTTTCTTAACTTCTGGGGACTCCCCCACCCCACCCATAGCCAATAGGCCCCGTAGGCTCCTAGACTCAGGAGGCACCAGCCACCCATGTGGGTTCAGGTTTTCCCTTTCCCTCTCTTCCTTATCTATCCTTACCATTTCCTCAGCCAAATCTCCCCCTCCCTCCTTTTTTCTGAGGTTCTCAACCATCTTTCTTAAGGTTCTCACATTTTCTTGTGAGTGCATTATGCTCTCCTTTTTGGAGAGGTTCTCTGCTTCTGTTTCCTCACTTTCTGAGACTTTTTCTGCCCCCTTCCACTCTGTTATTGCCAGGTGGACTTTTTTTCTGTGATCTTTTTGTTTTGGCTTTTCCTTACATTAGCGTAGGACAGGGCAGGAAAAGGTGTAAAAAAAAGAAAATGCAACAAAGTATTTACATATAATTTGATCATTTAAGGTGTCTGTTAATAGTCAGAAATATTTTGGATAGACAAAACTTAAAACAATACTATGATACAATTTTTATTTTCTTTCCAAAATGAAAAAATATTTAACTGACTTATGTTTCCATTATTGAGCATATAAGCTAGTTTTGCAGCTTTGTCTTCTGTTTATAGTGTATATGCAATAGAGAAATACATACAAAAAGAAAATGTTTTATTTTTTGCACAGTAGAGTTTTGTGCCTGGACTACAGAGGAAAAGCTTTGTACATATGTCAGAACTGTATGTGTAATTTGTATGGGTATTAAAAAAAATTAAAATAACTTTATTTTCTGTTGTCAGATGCTGACAGACATTGTGAAGTCGTTGGAAGTCCCCTGAAGATCAAAAGCACTAGAAAACCACTATCATATATCATTGGGTATTTAGGTGGGTATTTTCATTTGGAAGAAAATGTGTAAAATGAGATTTCGGCATTTTAACATATTAAAAAAATTCTCAGCCCAAATTATGGAAGTTTATACCAACACAGCACTATAACCAAAGAAGATATATTGATTAAAAATGCTTTATTTAATCAGAAAACCTTTCTAAAATGAATGTAAAAATGGCAAAAGGACCCAACATAATCTCGCAATCTGATATGCAAATCATTAATTATTAAAAGTGGAATTTTCGACTGTGCTCAGTGTTGCTCCCTTTCTGCTTCCATTGAAGCTGATGCCAAAACCCCTCCTGACTTCAAAGGAAATAAAGTTAAGTCTTTGCTCAGTGCTTTTAGAAATTTCTCACTAAGATAGTGTTAATTTTTTTATTGACTGAATTGCTTATGAAGAGGTGTTGTTATCTGTGTAACATACAGAGCTCATAGATGGCGGTGAGAAAAGTAGAATGATGTGTTGGAGAAAAAAAGAATAACCTTGATCCCAGAATCAGAATTTGTAATTCAAAATAAATAATTTCATAAAATTATCATAGTCTTCCAGACAGACCACCATGGCAATTAAGTATGTATGGCTAATTGCAGACATAAGAAATACACTTTAAGTTTTATTAATCTATAAATGAATACAGAAATCAGCCTAAGTTTTATAGAAGTAAAGCATTACACCTTGGCAACAAATAATGAGCCAATATTGCTCACATTTCCCTCCCATGTAAATATGGAATAATTTCATAAAACCAGTGATGATGCCCTCAGTTGATACAGGTATAAATGAGAGTTGAATCCACAACATTCAATCAAATTGAAATCCATGGGAGTTATACAAGAACAGACTTAAATAGTTACCCATTACTTTTCTCAGTATTAATCAATGACAGTTTCATTAGCAAAATGTTCATGTTGATGGTAGCATCTTGTGTCCTCCTAGGATTTATAGTAGAATGGGACTGTGGTAGGGCATGTATAACATGCTGCCAGGGCAAGTGACAGATGTGTGACACTAACAGTTTTATTACTTGAGTTACTGTAAGCTTAAGAACATTAGAAAGGATCGGTGTATCTCTCCTTTCTCTACTGCCTCTCCTGTTATTCTCTCCCACTATTTCCTTTTCCATCCCATGAAGCCACCAGCATTTTGGATGCCGCTAGTACATAAAAGATGCTACTTACTGTCTCATGCCCACCCCCCCATCATAGGCCATTTTTTGCTGGAAGGTTGCAAATGTTCATAATTATGCAGCCCAGGCTGTACTTGAACCAAGCTTTGCAACCTCTATCACACCTAGATTCATGTCACCCCTTTTCTCCCACCCCACTTTAGGTACACTACTGTTTCTTAGTTATATAAATGCCCCTTCCATCCACTTTATCATATTATCTAAATACTTCGGAGTATTTATCTGTTCGTTCTTACAAC